TCCGAGTGGAGATTCGCTAGATTAAATCTTTACCCCTCTCTCGTCAATGATTGTGGATTTACATGCAGTTGTGAATTACACCGACTGGGCAATGAAAGAGTTCTCCATTCCCAGCTTGGAATTACCATATTGCCACCTCACTGGAGATCAGGGGGTCCTAACCCTTCTACAGTCAAATTCACGGCACTCGTTTTTTTTGCATTTTTTATGGTGTGTAGAAATGGCACCATTTAGCAGGAATGGGACACATGCTTTTTTGTCCCCTAGCTTCCCCACCACTGGACACTCATGCACACACACACACCGGCCTCATTAACCTGATCTTATCCCCTTTTTATTGTAGCCCAACAAATAGCCAGACCCTGGTTTTCCTGCGAAACAGCAAAGGAAGCACAAAGGGTTGTAAAAAACAGAGAAAGAAGGTCAACATCAATCAGTCCATTCAGATATTTTACAGCAGGATTCCCTGTCCATCTGTAACTTGCATGTCAATACAGGGGTATAATTTTGGTTTTGTGTTTTTTCCTTCCAAATATTATATATCGGCAGAATAGTACTCTGAAAAAGCCAGTCACAAGCCTGCTGCTGCAATAACTTATCGATAGCACAGTTACGAAAGTGCTATGTGACAGGCATCATCGAGGGATTTACGCATACTTATGTGAGGCTTGCCTAACAATGCAAGTACTTTCCAAGTCCTTTTTATATAGCAAGGCATCTAGTCCAAATTCAGCATGCATTCCAAAAATCTGCAAAAAAATATATATATATTTATCTGACATAATTTATTGCATGATATATATTGTGTCATATAATTTAAGATGTACAGTTAAGCTTCAAATTAAACAGGTCAAATATGTCAACTGTCCCCCTAAGAATCCTTTTAAGTCACTGATATTAGGTAATTTCTTTGTTTCCTCATCTTATTTGTCCATTGCTGTCAGTTAAAGTTATAGTATTTGAATAATATTGATTTGTTCTTTCAGTCATATAACTTAAAAGGTCTATCGACAGAAGAGTTAACCTCATACAGAGTAATAAAGTAGCGAATAATGGTGTCTTTGTATTTGAACACTGTTTCTGACCCTGTGAAAATGTTGTCACTCATTGACAAACATAATTCATGTTATAACAGATACCAAAATTTTATTTAAAATAGTGAAACAGAGAAGTTACATAAGTATAAATTTATGAAGGACCATTGCATTTGTCTCAATGATTCGAATAACATTCACAAAAAGATACATTGACTGTATAACACTTTAAAATTTACTAAAAAAAAAAAAAAAAGATAAAGTTATAATGCCTTGATTCTATTGAAACTGATTAGTCTATTGCAATATAGCATTTTACCAAGAAATCCTAATCTAGTTTACGGGTCTTCTAAATGTCTTAAGCAGGGATCACCAACCTTTTTGAAACTGAGAGCTGCTTCACGGGTACTGAGCCATACGAAGGGCTACCAGTTTGATACACTCTTCTTAAATAACAAATTTGCTCAGTTTAAAACATGTTTTAAATGCTTTTTTTTTTTACATATTGCCATTTTCAAATCTGTATAGATGCAAATGTGATTAAAGAAGAATAGCAACAGGATAAAATTAAATTTTAGATGCTGCTCACTGGTGAGTTGTGCTAATTTTAGAACAGGTCCGCGGGCGACTCATGTGGTCCTTGGGGCATCCTGGTGCCCGCGGGCACCATGTTGGTGACCCCTGGTCTTGAGTTTTTCCCAAATTAATTAAGGGATTTCGATGTAGTTTCTCCAGGTTATTCTCATCTGAGACTGAACCAGGCCGTGATCAGCACTCTAATTCTAAAGAACTTTTCCATTTTGGGGTATCTTATTTCCAAGCTCATATGAATGTTCTGCTGACATCTAAGCAGTTCTCACTCACAAATCTACATACTTGATACCATGCTTTTCAGATAAGAACGTAACATTCATTTTAGAAAAGGGTTTGGGAAAGCATCTTCTCAGTCCAAGCAAGAGACATCAGTCCATCAAAAAGGAGCAGCTTAATGGAGTGTGGTTTAGCCTGGGCCATGGGATTTGCATTGAAAACCTTAATAAGGACATACTTCGTATCAGCAGAAATGAATGTCATGCCTAAAAAAACTGTGACATGAATAGTATTCAAAGGCAGAGGTCATAGTTAAACAATTATCTTACCAACTTACTTCCATTGCCTTGCCTAAGAAGTAGCACATCATGGAAATAATTTGCATCTAAGGGCATCATTGCTAGGTAAGTTACCTTGCATTTAACCAGATCATTATCCCAGTTAGGGACTTTTGATGCGGTCACAGGTAGGTAGTCACAGATGGGTAGTAAACACCTGGAAAAGGACTCCAAAATACCACAATCATCTGTTTGCAAATAATTGCATCACAGTACATTTTGTGCTGCATGACAGTTGCTAGCGGTGCTATGCATTATGGAGTAACTTTAACATCTTTTTAGTTTAAGGACTTTCACCGTGATGGGACTGAGCTTTCGGGCAACAGTTTCTCTTTTTTCTTTCTCTTTTGCCTGGAACATGAAATATTTCTCTCTACCAAGCTTAGGCTATGAAGGCTTTGTTAGGGGATAAGTAACAAAGATGTGTAAGTTGCATATATCTGTTCTGCAAAGAAGATTATTATTTGTTTCTTCTGTAAGTTCCATACTGTTCACCGTGTGATGCTAGGTCCAGCCTGAGGGGTATGACATCTCCCATTCTGTCATGTCCATGTTTTGCAGGTATTATACACCATTAGGTAACTTCCTTCCAATCCTATACCCTACAAGTGATATCTTTAGGCTAGAATGGTGGCCCAGCCATGGATTTTGAACAAAAAAAAATTACATGTATAAGTAAGTGATGTTACCTGACAGGAACCTGCCAGTCTCTTCTTCCCCATCTCAGAGACTGTCACTGACTGAATACCCTGAAAAGAGATGCTGGCTATATGCAGATCATTATGCGACCTCTCGTTCTACTCACGCACCATCTTGTTACATGCCTTTGTTTACAGCAATTTTGCACTATTACATGACTGCAACTATATGCAATTTATCCATAGAAACTAGCTTATCATTACCATATATACAATATACTTTTATATAACCAGATATTTTAATTATACAGACTGTACCGATGGAAATTGCTCAGAACTGCACAACCATGTTTAGGAATCGAACCCATAGTCACTTGTCTTTACCCAGATCGCCTTATCTTGAGAAATAGCATTTTAGCTAGGCAATGCTCTTAGATGCATAGAAAAAAAAAACTCTCTGACATCATACAAAGTGCAAATAAAGGACTCAACTATAAGTATTTTCGCAGAATTAAAATGATTTGGGCTCTGGAGTACAAGGGCGATACACTACAAGAGCAATCTGCCTTTATAACAATGTCAATAATGTTTGACTTGCAGTCTTTGAGTGTGGTTTTCCTTGGCTGATGTACAAGGAACTTTAAATTTCATTATTGTCATTATTCATGTCAGACATGTTGTCTAACAACAGACTGCATTTGCATCGTGAACGTGGCCTCAAAACTTTCAAGTCCAAATAAAAATATTTGTGCACATTAATATTTTCTTTTCTAAGCCAGTTTACATACTTCAGTCCAACTCTGACTGCATAAAAACAAGTTTATTACAATATAAGTTAGCATGAATGATGACAAATGTATCAATGGCAAACAAAGACTGAGTAAGAGTGTGTGTGTGTGTGTGTGTGTGTGTGTGTGTGTGTGTGTGTGTGTGTGTACCATGCAGAAATAAGGTAGCTTGAGCAACTGGGAGTATTCTCCAGTGTCTCATGGTCCTGGCGATTGTTTGGGACCCATTCAGTTATAGTGTCTGACAGAATAATTAACCTGTATTTCCTAAATCACATTTTTTCAGTTAATGTAACAGCCTTCCCTTTCGTTATTGCTGACATTACCCTTTGTGGTGATACGTGAGAAGAGAGTTGCATTTTGTCTTTAAAAGACAGATAACGACTTGAGGCAGTCTTGAGTTGTCCTTCTGCATTAGCCATTCAAGAAAAACTCAAATATGGTCTTTGTATTGTTTTGTTTCATTCAGGTGAATAAAAGGTAGTATGTTGGGGAATGTTACAGTGCAAATATCTTGCCTACATCCATGATTGTGAAATACCACAATCAATGTTACCCAAGGAAAAAGCAAGGAATCAACCACCAAATGATGACAGTAGCTTGTGTAGGAGATGATAGTTTTGTGCGTGTGTGTTTGTGTGTGTATATATATATATATATATAACGCCCCATTCTTACCACTGATTTCTTTTTTCAGTGTTGCAGTGACTATATGACAAATGAATGAGTATTCTTTATTTCTACCATACTTTATTTAACATGTCCAGTACGTGTTACCAAATGTGACTCACGTTATTATCCCGTTTTAATTAATTTATTTAATTATATCTTAGTCTTTAAAGTTGATGTTTGACATCAAAGGAACAATATATTCTTTGAAGTATTATGAAGTAAGATGAGTGTCTCATCTTCCCTTAAAGATCCCAACAGTGACGCTTGGAAAATTATCCTGAGTTTAAAAAATGCAGAAACCGGGTTTCTGTCCTGTCCTGAGGTTCCCACCTAAGTGATCCAGTTTTAATTAATCCAGTTTGTGGTATTTGGTTTTCTTTCTGATCCACGTTAAAATTGTTTTGCTCATACGTCATTGCGCGTTAAAGGTATTTGCACTTCTGCAAAAAAAAAAAAAAAAGTCTCATTGTTGAACATAGCCCGAAATTATTATTATTTTTTTTACTGTTGTGACTGTATTAATAGCTATCATCCTTGCGTTTATGATCACATTTTTGCAATTGCCATATCTATGAAACGTATGTTCGACACGATAAGCAATTGGGCAAATTCAGAATAGTCACATTTCACAACTGGTTCTCTTTGTACGCTCCAGGATTTAGGGAGTTAAACTGCGAAATATGCAAGAAGGCAGGCTTGCGTCGTTAAAGTTTATGTAGCAACAGAAGGATTGCAGGGATAATGCTATTGGGGCGGCGGATCACTTACTTCTGACGTTCCAAAGCCTCAGGGAGTTGGCTCAAGATTGCTAGTCTTTGATAAGGTCCTTGCAACTTAGTAACAACTTTGTTGTTCCAAAAATTACAGATAAAAAATCCTCCGGCTAGTTTTCTTAATACTTTCGCTCACTATCAATATCTCACGATTAATGTATATAATCTCTGCGTTCACTGTCTGGTTAACGCAAACCATTAGGTTTATCGTTGCTTTTAAAGCGCGAAAGGGAATTATTCTTTTCTATGTAGCTTTCGGGACCGGGCTGTCGGTTTCTTACTTTGATGTCCGCAGTTAAACCCTGAGCCCAGTTCGTATTGGAATAGCCTGGAGGAGATCTGCTGCTTGCTTATGACTGCTTGAAACACTACCTGGAGAGAGAAGGGGGAACGGGTTCCTCTTTTTTGGTGCGGGGAGAAAAAAGTTACGTTTGAATTCCCCCTTCTCTTAAAAAAAATACGAATCTAAGACACGCATGAGGACTGCCGACTGGTGGAAACTGTGGATTACTTTTTTTTTGCATTTTCAAAGGCGCAAAACTCATGGATCGATGGTAAGTTGTAACAAGGTTGACTGTGTGATCCCGGCGATGGCCCCTCTCTGAGGCTGCTTTGATCTGTTCTTGGGCGACTTTGAAGTGTAAAAGTCTGCTTGCGAAGTATCTTTTTCTGTACCTGAAGATTAGAAACGCGGGATAAATTGTTAGTAAACTGGAAGCGATGTTTTTGGGGATGTGTTTCCGTCATTCCCCGGAGCACTATTGGTAGGTTTGATCATTTGAGTATCATTACAAGTCTCTAAGGGGGAGGGGGGAAAGTGGGATGTATGTGATGAGCTATACCTCCCCCTCCTCAAGATTTTGACACCCCCTGTGATCTAAAAAGAACTGCCTCCGTAATTCGGGGTCAGTTGTTGAATGGGACGGGGGTACATCAGTACATCCTTTTTGCACTAAGGACTCACATGGGCTAAATGAATACGTCCAGTCGCCTCTCACATTCCCGTCTTTTGTTGGATTATTGCTGCTTTCACCGGGAATTGTTTTTCTGGTTGGATTTCTGATATTTTGCTGGGGAGAAACGGAACATAAAACCTGAGTTCTTTTCTTTCTTCTTCTTTTTTTTTTTTTTTTTTTTTTTTTTTTTGCTTTTACCGTCTATAGACTTTTCAGTTTACCGCGGTCTGGGTGCACAATGGTATGTAATGTGTAGTTTCTTTTACCCACGATAGCAATAAAAGCCTATCGCTCTCGCCGGCAAGCGAGGATCGCTACAGAGATGGAAAAAGCGTAGATAATCCTCTGTATTTACTTTATTTTCTAATCGCTTCTCGATGTGTGTTTATAAAACAGAAGAGGTAATTACAATGAAATCTGATGTTTGGAGTCTAAGGGAGATATTCACGTCTGCAGTGTTATCTAATGGCTTGCATTTTGTTTTATTAGCTTTTTATCCCGGGAGTTTGCCTTGCATTTCATCGTAAAACAGAGATCTGTTAAACTAGTTTCTGTTATTAATGCAGGAGCCGTAACACGGTACAGTGTCTTTTGGATTGCCGTCCGTGGTGATTTAACTGCTTTCATATTAGCTTAGCAGTTGTACATAGGTTTGATTAACGCTGCTGTAGCCGTGTGTTTTTTGGTAACGTTTTGTGTTGATTATGTACACAGTACCCAGCGTTTCCGAACGGCTTTTGTGCGTTAAAAGTGTTCGGTAATATGAGCTGGAAATACGGGTTGACGATCAAAGCGCGGCGCGGATCCGCGATGGCTGGACGCATGGGCGCGCTTCTCTTACCTGCATATTAAAATAAAGGTTGTTCCAGACGTGGCTATTCGTGCATATTATGCAGTTCATACCTACCTGACCCTTATTCAGGTGACTGAATAATAAAACACCAGCTCAGTAGTTTTGGGAAGTGCGTTAATTTATAATGATCCGGAGCTGTTGCTGCGATTTAATTAAATACCTGTTTTCGGTGTCTAGTCTGAATCAGATTTTCGAAGATAACGATTAGAAACATTTCACGGTGACGACTTTTTCTGTTGCTTTCGGGTGCTATTTTTTCTATTTTAGCAGTGCCTTGATGATACTGCTATGAGTGTTGTTAAGGAGTTGGTGAAATTCTGATTACTGGATAAACGTAGTTGAGGTTCTTGTCTCTAGTCGGCTTTCTTCATTTTCTTGCTTTTTTGAGAGTCTGTAAGGGTCCAAAAGACTGTTTACTTCACGTCTCCCTTTGAAGTTAGGCGGATCTGTTTTTGATTAGATCAATACTTTCTGTTTCAGAGTGAACAAGGGCCGAGGAGCTCCCCTGCTGATTTAAGAGAGTGAGGAGATTACAGTCGAGCTCAGAGGCGGCGAGCAACACACAAGGAGACAGGAGCTGGAGCCATGAGCAGGGCGCTTACGGATCACATCAGCACTAGCTTCAGAGAAGATGCCCCTCGCCCTCCCGTCCCGGGGGAAGAGGGAGAGACGCCATGCCACAATATCAACAAATTTGCCATGATGAGACCCCAGACTAAGGCTAAATCGGTTGTTGTCGCTTCTCCCGGCCCCACGCCGAGGAGAAACGAGGATGGACTTGGAGAGCCTGAAGGAAGCGCTTCTCCGGATTCTCCGCTCGCTCGGTGGACCAAGTCGTTGCATTCGCTTCTAGGGGACCAGGACGGTGCTCATCTCTTCAGGACCTTTTTGGAACGGGAGAAATGTGTAGATACCTTGGACTTCTGGTTCGCCTGCAATGGCTTCAGGCAGATGGACCTGAAGGATACCAAAACGCACAGAGTTGCCAAAGCTATTTACAAACGGTACATCGAGAACAACAGCATTGTCGCCAAACAGCTGAAGCCAGCTACTAAAACCTACATCAAGGATAGTATTAAGAAGCAACAGATAGACTCTGCGATGTTCGACCAAGCACAGACCGAGATCCAGTCAACGATGGAGGAAAATGCCTACCAGATGTTTCTAACGTCTGAAATATACCTCGAATTTGTGCGTACTGGGTGCGAGAACCCAGCTTACGTTAATCATAATGGCTTAGGGAGCCTCAAGTTGATGTGTGGCTATCTGCCCACGTTGAATGAGGAAGAGGAGTGGAGTTGCAATGACTTAAAAGCGAAAGCTTTGGCTTCTGTAGTTGGGCTATCAGCAAAAGCGTTACGGGCAACTATGTCCATGAGGACAACAGAGGTGCTGGAGAATGGATATAGGTAAGACCAATTATTTTATCTATACCAAACTCATGTTGCTTGTATTGGGTTGAACTTTTAACTGTTAAAAGAGGTTCATAAGTCAGGTAGTTGCCACAGAATTCCACGCATGGATTTGTAGTTTGTAGGTGTTGAAATTGGCTTGATCATTTGCATTGAAATTATCTTATATAGATGTTAAAGTTTGGATTGAATCTTTCACCATAGTAGTTTACACGGGTATGTCTCCGGTAATCGGTGGGGGGGGATAGAATCCTGGTCTGTTTGCTGAGTTGTGTTCTCACCTTCCTGCATTAGTTGGCAGGGGTGCGAACATCAATGGAAATGGTCTTCCTTTTAAGTAAATGGTGTCTAGCACGCGGCCCTCTGCTGGCTCGTGCGAGTTTCCTGTGCTTTGAAATCGTTCCACAGATCATCTTGCATGCGGGCTCATCTTGCATCGCGAGTTCAGAGACAGAGTCTGGCTTGAGCTGTATCAAAGCGTGTGATCCCATTCCAAACTCGTATGTCAGCTCCTCTTCCTTCTCCCAGAATTGTAAATAAGGAGGAGACGTGTGTCTTGCACGTAGGTTCGGTGTGTCGCAGAAAAACCAGGCTCGGGAAGAAAATAACTTTGTTTGCCCCCCCCCCCCCAAACACCATTACTGAAAAAGTGCCAAGTGTAATTCAGCTCTTGTAGCAAGATGAGGGACCAGAGATTTCTGGAAAGCATTTCGTCCCCATTTCTTAAGATATGTTCTCAGATGTTGTCTTACTGACCACCACAGTGGCGCACATAATGTACGGTTGTTGATTTCATGCATGGCTGTTCGTCAGATTGGTTACGGAGTCAGAGCTGCTAGGTATGGCCATTCATTAAAAACACATCTGGGTACAATTACAGAGAAGTGAAGTTTTTTTTTTTCCCCTTCCTCCCAAGAATAATAGGGATATGCTAACCAGTGGCTAAATATTAGCTTCAGTGCAATATCAAATCATTGATTCAGCCCACTTTTGGGTGCTTGAATGAAATGTCTTGGTAATGAGGGGAACTTTAGCTGAAGGAAACAAAACGTAAGTATCCTGCTACTCTGTGCGCACCCCCAGACGCCAGCCCAGCCAAGCAAATGGGCTTCTAGATTAAGCTACTTGCAGGAAACGAGATGCTGGGTGCGACTGAAGATCTCTAGGTTGTTGGGTCTTGTGATATAGCTGTTCCAAATTGTGGGGGGGGGATGTTGTTGACATGATGGCATTTCTTCAGTCACTTTGTGATCAGTGTTTTTTGGAGGAAAAAACAGGCCCACCCCCCCTTTTCCTCTGTGCTCTACACCAACTCTTTATGTCACTAAATTTCCATCTGAAACATGTGGAACTAATTTCAGCACTGCTCAGATTCCCCCCACCCAAGCCCTCCCCCCCCCCCCACCCGCCGCCGTTCCAAAAGAACCACCACCAGCATGGCTTCTCAGCCACCACCCTTGCTTACAATTTTTAAACCTTTTTCTCTCCCCCCCCCCCTCTCCATTCCCCTACTTGCTTTTATCTCTCCTTGCTGGAAAAAAAATCCCACTGACAGAGACTAAGCATGCTTTGGAGGGAAGGGAAGGGAAAGGAGAGACAGGAAGGGGGGGGACTGGGGTGATCATGAAAGAAAGAGAGGGGAAGAATGCGAGCCCAGCTGTGCTAAATACCTGACTCTTTGCAAGAACCTCCAAAGGTCAGGTTTGAGCTGGGGCCTAAGGCTTTAGTCATGCTGTGTCTGTCCTCACGGCTCTCCGGGCAGTAGGCAGTCTCATAAAGAGGAGGCCCTCCTTCCCCCTCTCTCTCTCTCTCTCTCTCCCTCTCTCTCTCCTCCCCCCTCCCCTGCTCGCTCTCTGGTTCACTCCTTGCCCAAGCTTTAAGCTCAAGTTTTCATCCCCCCCCCCTTCACTAGTGAAATAGCAATGCATCACAGCAGGGGAGCAAAAAGAGAGAGTTTGAAGGGAGGAGGGGAGGTTTTCTGGAGAGTATGATGGGGGGGGGG